AGGAGACATTTAGCTCTTAATGTTTTACAGCTTTAGAAATTAAGGCTGTGTAATGTTGGCAGAAGACAGACAGGTGGGCCAGGGGAACAGACTAGAGAACTGGAAACATCTGTGTTTGATGTGTGGTAGAGGTGGCCTGTACATCAGTGGGGAATGCTAGTACTCTTAAATAATGGTTCTGAGGCAGCGAGTTCCCAGGTCACACCATTCAGAGGATAAACTCCAGGTTATCCACATTGGACCTAAATGAGAAAGGAAAGCCGTAAAGCTGAGAAAAAATAATATAGATTATCTTTGTGACCCCAAGATATGGAGGGTTTTTTATTTTAGCAGTTTGGGAAGGGAGGAGGTATTTTTAAAACAAAACCAAGGAGCCCTAATTCTAAAGGAAAGACTGATAAATTTGACCATATTGAAATTAAGAAATATATAATAGAATATTATATATTCTATTCTGTTATATATACTATATATAATAGAACATACTTATTACACATCTACCCCATGAAAAGACATATGTTGCACATCTATAATAAATTCCTACAAACCAGTAGAAAAGTGGCAGGCACCTCCAATGAAAAATGGTCAAAAGGTTTGAACAGGTATTTAAAGATAAAGATCCAAATGGTTAAGAAACTTTTTTCATTAACATCGCTTGTGTGGTATAAACTGGTACACCTGCTTTGGAAAACAGCTTGACATGATCTACAAAGTTGAAGATTCACATATTTGTGGCCTATTTCTGCCCCCAGGGATATTTTGCACAGAGACAAGTGTCCATGTGCACCAGGAGATGTATATAAGAAGCTTCATGCTATTTGTATTACTTGAAGATTGTAAATGAGCCAACTGTCCATGAACACCAGAATGGGTAAATGATTGTGGTGTGTTCATACAGGGGAATACAATGCAACAATGGATGATAAACTTACATACAATAACGTGTTTGAATCCTACAAACCTTAATGTCAAGGTAAAGGAAACCAGACACAAAATGCATACAGAATGGCTCCATTAATATAAAGTTCAAAAGCAGGCAAAACTAAAGCATATTATTTAGATTAGGGATGCATATATAGGTGATAGAACTATGAAGAAAAGCAGGGAAATGCTATACAAATTAGGATCTTTGTTTCCTCCGATAGGAAGAAGGGGATAAGATTGAAAAGGGGGCACATCCTGGGTGTGAGTAAGAGGTGTTCCATTTATAACTACTTAAGGCACATTTATGTTTTATGCCAAAGCAAATTAATTGCCAACAATAAGAGATTGAAAGGTAAAAAACTCATTAAACTTGAGAGAAATTGAAGGGATTTCATTGAGGAAGGAACGCTCTTGGTAAGTGACAAGAAAAGGCTTAACACTTCTAAAGTTTTCATTTTATAGGCTTTAAAAATTTTGAGGTATAATTTATATACAATAAGATGAATAGATCTTAACTGTTGAGTCTGAAGAGTTCTGAGTGTTACACACACCGTATACTTGCCTCATCAAAGGAACTAATAGAACATTTCTGTCATCTTGGAGAGCTCCCTTCTTCCCAGCCAGTCCACCAGGAGGCAACCACCTTCTGATTTCTGTCACCTTATTAGTGCTGCCGGTTCTTGAGCTTCACGTAAATGGACTGATACCATATATGCTCTTTTGTATCTGGCTTCTTTCTGGCAAAATTTATATATGTACTTATTTATATATGTATATTACATCTATGTAAATTTTATGTGTATGCAAATATACATATATAAACATGTAAACACATATACAAATACGTGTGTATATATATTTACATATATACTTTTATAAATTCATATATACACACACACACATATATGCACAAACTTGCCCATGTACTGTGTGTCAGTAGTTCCTTTTGTATTGCTAAGTAGTTTTCCATTATATGAATATACCATAATTTAGCCATTTCTCGATGGACATTTGGTTGGTTTCCAGTTTGGGAATAGCCATTAGTTTTTAAAATGTGTTGTTTAGTTTGACATTTATGGGAGGAAATTCATTAACATGCTAGGTTATTGAAGGAATTGGGCCAAGTATTGACAGAATTATAAACTTACTCTAGAACTACTAGAACTAAAGAAAGCTGACAACAAATTTGGGAATAAGATGACACTTTCAGAAACATAAATGGCAGGCAGACAAACAGTACTCGTTTTCTGAATGAGATAGGGTGTGTAGCGTGGCTAAGAACATGGCCTTTATTGTTGGATACAAATCCTGGCTTTGCTAAAGTCTAACTATAATTTTGGCAAGTTGCTCAGCTCCTCTGGGCCTTATTTTCTCCTCTGTGTAAGAGGAGTGTAGTGCCTGCCTCACAAGAATGTAAGAATTAAGTAGCATGATCTCTATTAAGTGCTTAATTTAGTGCATGATGCATAGCGCATGTGCAGTAGTAACTGCTTGTTACTAATAGAATCATTAGTGGATCTCATCAACTCACACCTCAGAGAAGGGTCATTTCGGGATTGGTCTTTGCTGAATGACACCAGAACTCTCCCAAGTGCTTCAAGAGTTTGGGAAAGGACAGGGACTGTCCCTCCCCACCCCCATCTGCCTGTAACTCCCTAGCTGTCAAGGTTGAAGGCAGAGGGCTGGGCTGCGTTGTTTTGGGGCCAGCACACCCCTGGGTAACGTGTGGGCAGTTGCTTCACTGCTGTCATCCACGCTTATCACAGCATTGTTCTGAACTTTATTATATGACTTTGTAACAAAACATCTTCTGCCACAAAACATTAGGATGGTATTTCACTGGCCTTGTGGGATATTCATACTGATTTGATTTTGCTATTGAGGAGGCACCTTAGAGATGTTATACTACAGAAAACAAAAAGATCTGTTACCTATTCTCAAGAAGATCATAAAAGTGGCCAAAATGAATAGAAAAGAAGAAACCTGCAGAAAGTGAAATCATTTTCTGGAGTACAGCAGTGATAAGAATGGGCTGTGGGGCAGGACAGACAGCCTAGTTATTGCTGCATAACAAATTACCTCCAAAAACAGTGGTTTAAAACAAGCAGTATCTATTACTTCGTGGTTTCTGTGGGTCAGGAATCTGGGCATGACTTAGCTGGGCATGTCTGCTTCAGATCTCTCCCCATGCTGCGGTCTCATCTGAAAGTTCAAGTAGGCCAAGGTCGCCGTTCGAGCTCCCTCACTTCTGTGGCCCCTGGTGGGATTACAGTCCTCATGGGCTGCCGGTTGGAGGCCATCTTTACTTCCTAGCTCCGTGGGCCACTCCATAGGCTGCATCACAACGTGGCAGGTGGCTTCCATCCAGCTGAGCAAACAATGGACGGCGAGCAAGGGTGTGTACAGGCTTTTAGTCACCTCATCTCAGAGGCGATATCCCTTTGCTTTGGCCACATTCTGCTTGTTAGAAGCAAGTCATCAGGTCCAGCCCATGGGGAGCAGATTCTACCAGGGCATGAGTCCCCAGAGGTAGGGACCACTGGGGCCATTTTAGAGGCCCTCTCCTTCAATCTGCCCTCTATTCCCCAATGGTTCCTGTCCCCCTAGCATGCAGAATACACTCACCCCCTCCCAAGATCCCCAAACGTCTTATCCCATTACAGCATCCGCTTCTGAATCTCGTCATCTGAATCAGGTCCAGGTGGGGATGAGGCTTTTGAAGACAGATCTGTATTATGTATTGCTGCATAACAAATAACCCCCAAACTTGGAATCTTAGAGCAGTAGATTTTCCTATCTCACAGGAGGGAGGGATCACCAGGGGCGGCCATCTTAGAGGCTGCCTACCTCCACTGTCTAGGTTCCCATCCTTGTGCTGCTACACACTAGCTGTGTGCTCTTGGGCGAGTCACTTCCCTTTTGTGTGCTTTTGGCCTTTTTTTTTTTTTAATTTATAAAATGAGTCTAATCCTGTTACTTACCTAATCACCTAAGTGACATAATTTGTAAAGTAATGAACACATTCCCTGGCAAATAGTAAATGCTCAGTAAATGCTAGTCATTTATAATTAATGCCACTAGAATTGTTACTATTTTTCCAAAGAAAAACTTGGTATGCTTTCTCAGAATGAGGAGAGAAAAGGATAAAAATGGAGAGAAAAGGATAGTCCTTGAATACAAAAGGTAGGAATCCAACCTCAAACTGGTAATGGTTCTTCAAGGAGTCCAAGGAGATCAGAGTTAATAATGGTTAAGTTTAAAAAAACAAGACTACTAAACAAAGTATTTGTTTAAAGCAGTGATTAAAGTATTTTGCATGGCCCATGCACTATTGGAATACTGCAATAAGGTGGGGATGTGGGGAGACATGTAGTTTAGATAAGGCCCTATAGGATTAACTGTATCACCTGTAATCAGACCTTTTCATTACTGACTGCAGGCCAGTCCAGTTTAGAAAGTCATCAAGAGAGCCTGTGAGCATTGGGCGCCTGGGTGGCTCAGTTGGTTAAGCGACTGCCTTCGGCTCGGGTCATGATCCTGGAGTCCCGGGATTGAGTCCCATGTCGGGCTCCCTGCTCAGCGGGGAGTCTGCTTCTCCCTCTGACCCTCTTCCCTCTCGCGCTCTCTATCTCTCATTCTCTCTCTCTCAAATAAATAAATAAAATCTTTAAAAAAAAAAAAGAGAGAGAGCCTGTGAGCACATTGTCTGTAGAGTGGCAACAGCTCAGGGGTTCATGGACAGCCTGGACCAGCTGTAGGCCTGAGTGGGGTGCCCTTCTCTGCTGGACTGTGACCAGCTTGAGAGGGAACGGGTCATTTACTCCTCAGCTCTGTCTCCCCGTCTGTACCAGGTATAAAACAAAGGGGCCGGCTAGAAGGTGTCTGAGAGAGTTTTATGCTAAAACCTAGATTCAAGGTCAGGGCTGTGCCGTGCAGCGTGTGGACAGATGGGTTGAGAAAATGTGGCTGAGCTGTACCCCCCCTCCCCAAAGTGGGACTCCAGTTGTAAATAGAGTATGTCTTGCCCCTGCCTGGCCTCCAGCCCTAATGTTCCTCCTTCTCGTTCCTTATGGCAGGCCAAGTGCAGGAACATGGAGCACGCTCTGCGGGAGAAAGCCAAGGCCTTCTGGGCCATGAGGCGATCCTATGAGGCCATTGCGAAGCACAATCAGGTGAGTGCTCTGGCTGGGCGGGGAGATTAGGGATACCTGGGTCAGTGGGGGAGTTGGGGGGGCGGGGAGAGGCGAGGGTGGGCCCGCCCTGACTGTGGGTGTTGACCCAGAATCAGCCTTCCTTAACCCTGAGGGTCCAGCATAGTCACGTCCCAGGTTGCTGGTTGTGGCGGCACTGCCGTGGTCTCTCTAAATAGCTGGGCGTGGCCATGCCAGCAGCCATGGGAGGGGCATGAAAAGTTACCTGTGCCATCTGCACTGTGGTTTCAGGCTAGCTTGAACACGTGCTGCACTTAACCATCTACCCAGCTGCTCAAGCCACCGATGACCTGGGGCTCTTTAGTTATTCCTCTTTTCCCTTTTCCTCCCCGGGTCCACTCCACCAGCAGTCCTGGCCTCTCTAACGGAAAATACATCTTGTCCACCCGACGCTCTGTTTCCCCTGCCACCCACCATCTTGGCCCTGTCTCCATTGTTTCTCACCTGGTCTCCTACTTGGGCCCCAAGCTTCCACTCTTTTTTTTTTTTAAGATTTTATTTATTGATTCATGAGAGAGAGAGAGGCAGAGCAGGGAGCTGCCGTGCAGGGATCATGACCTGAGCTGAAGGCAGATGCTTAACTGACTGAGCCACCCAGGTGCCCCCCAGCTTCCACTCTTGTTCTGCAATTCATCTCCACAGAGTGGACTGATCTTTTCGAAAAGTACCTGGATTGCATCACTCCTTTGCCTAAAACTGTCGAGTGGCTTCATTACCCTCACTTTTTATTACAAAAAGTCTTTCTCATTCCAAGATGAGAACTGTTTCTCTGCTTTTTCTTTGAGTGCATTTATGGTTTTGTTTTAACTTTTTTTTTTAATGTTGTTAAAAATTTATTTGAGAGAGAGAGAGAAAGAGAATGAGTGAGAAAGCATGAGTGGGGAGAAGGAGAGGGAGAAGCAGGCTCCCCGCTGAGCAAGAAGCCCGATGTGGCACTCGATCCCAGGACCCTGGGATCCTGACCTGAGCCGAAGGCAGATGCTTAAGTGACTGAGCCATCCAGGTGCCCCTGTTCTAACTTTTTTAAAGTTTTTTGTAGTTATGATTAGGGGTACGCATATTGTGAATGATTCAGCTTTAAAATAAGTGCTTTCTACTCCTCTTTTGGTAAGCCTCTGGATCAGACAGATTTGAAGTCCTAAGATGGGAAGGCAGATAATTTTTAAAAGTCGTTATTTGCAACAGTTCATTTCTGTGATTCAGGATTTCCCTTGCTATGGTGTACCCAACCAAGATACAGAATATTGTGTGTTGAGGAAGATACAGATGACAGGTTTCATCAATAAGCAGATTTGATTTGATTTTCTTACTTTATCAAGACAGCCTCATGCTGTGTGACTTTAAACTTACAAATTTATGCTAATAAACCTGCATCTGTATTTTACCTGTTGGGGTTCCACCCACGGTTTCTGTTGAAAAGGGAGCTCCTTTGCTAGAAACCTGAGAGTCCCGAGGCCAGGTGCTGCCTGAGAAGTTCCCTCCGGGCCTGAGCCTCCGTGGCCCCATCCTGCTCTGTGCTGTAGGTGGAGGCTGCCTGGCTAGAAGGGCGAATCCGGCAGGAGTTCGACAAACTTCGTGAGTTCCTGCGAGTGGAGGAGCAAGCCATCCTGGACACCATGGCTGAGGAGGCGAGGCAGAAGCAGCGTCTGGTGGAGGAGAAGATGAAGCGGCTGGCGGAAGACACCGAAGCCCTGGCCCATGAGATTGAGCGGCTGCAGGTGGAGATGAAGGAGGATGATGTTTCTTTTCTCATGGTGAGGGGCTCGCCGTCTGGCTTCAGTGACAGGGAGCAGGTGTCCGGGAGCCAGTGGGGAGCCAGAGACTGGCGGGTGCTGGGTGGGGGTGCTGGGCCGGAGGAGCCCCCGGAGGAGGTGCCCTGCTTGTCAGGAAGCCAAGGGGATTTTCAGCAGAGTGGTGTTCCTGAGGGCTTTCTCACTTCTCTCTGCCTCTCTCCTTTCCTTGTCCGTCTCCCTGCCTCTCTTGTACTCTTGCGCTCTCTTTTTGTTTCTTCACTTTCTACTCCTTAATACAGCAGAGTACCTTTTGAACAAGGTGGAAAAGTTGCAAAGGTAGTGCTGGGTGCCCCGTAGACCCCTCCTCCGAGGTCCTCCCATTGTTAACACCTTATATCACCTCATGGCACATTTGTCCTTAGAAACCTGACCTTGGTGCATTGTAATTGACTAAACTCCAGACTTATTTGGAGTCCACCATTTTTTGCATTAATATCCTCCTGCTCCAGGATCCAGTCCGGGGACCTACATCGCATTTAATTGTCCTGTGCCCCAGTCTCTGCTGCTCTGTGACAGTGTCTTATTCTTTTTGTTTTTCATGACCCGAGGAGTGGCAGATAGCCTGCAGAGTGTCCTGCCACTCTGGGTTAGCCTGATGTTTTTTCCATAGTTAGACAGGGCTTGTAGGATTTTACAAAGAAGACAAAATGGAATATTCTAAAATTATATAATTATTTTAATTTTTAAATTTAAATATGATGTTTTGGTATTCTCTGTTGCTTTCTTAAAAGGATGACTCTATTCTCTCTTTTAAAAATAGATGTTTTGTTCATTTTATTTCTTTTTATGTTTCTCATCCCCCCCTTACACTTCTCCCCCCTGCCCCATGATTCTTATGGAGACGTGTCTGTAACTGGAAAGCTAGTTTGGAAATCAGTCAGGATAGCAAGCTATCTTCTCTACTTAGAGAACAGCCGAACTCTCTGGACAGGGGAGACTTTGTAGAGTGGATTGAGAAGGGACAGGTACATCCTCCATTCAGGCCAGGTGTCACCTCCTGGCTAGGGACTCTTGTGGGTTTTCTGCCTCACACAAAGCTTTGAACCCTGGTGTCTCCTGTCTCCAAAATGCCCCTGATGATAAAATCATTTGGTGGGTTCTAAAAGCTAGATTCTTTGCTGTTTCTGTTCAGGAAATTGGGAGTGGCCAGGACCCATTGTGCTTTCAGGGATGCTTTTGTGACTTTTTTTTATATATATATAACAGCTTTATTGAGATATAATTCATATACTGCATAATCTACGTATTTAAAATGTACAATCAGTGGTTTTTACTCTATTCACAGAGTTCTGCAGTCATCACCACAATCAACTGTAGCACGTTTTGTCTCCAGAAACATACCCTTTAGCTGTCGCCCCCTTCTGCCCCCCTCTCCCCACCCCCACCATCAGCCCTCAGCAAACGCTAATCTCCTTTCTGCCTCTAAGGATTTGCCTTGTCTGGACACTTCCATAAATGATTTCCATAAATGGAATCCTATCAGATGCAGCCTTTTGTGACTGGCTCCTTTCACTCAGCATGTTTTGAAACTATATCCTGTCGCAGGATGTATCAGGACATGGCTAAATAATATTCCATTGTAGGGATATACTACATTTTATGTATCCATTCATCAATTGATGGGCGTTTGGGTTGTTTCCATTTCTGAGCTGTTATGAATCACACCGCTATAAACATTCATGTACAAGTTTTTGTGTAGACGTACTTTTTTCTTTCTCTTAAGTATGTGTCTAAAGAGATTTACTGAATCATATGGTAACTAGTAAGTTTAACTGAGGAACTGCTGCATTGTTTTCCAAGTGACTGCGCAGAGTTTATATTCCCATGAGCAGTGTATGAGGACTAGTTTCTCCACATCCTTGCCAACACGGACCTTTTTACTTTCCTTTTTTTTTTTAATGGACATTGCAGGGGTGTGAAATGGTATCTCATTGTGGTTTTAATTTGCATTTCTTCAGCTAATGCTGTTGAGCATCTTTTCAGGGACTTGTTGGCCATCTGTATATCTTTGGGGAACTCTTGTGTTCCAGCCCTGTGTCCATTTTTTAAATTGGGTTGCTTGTCTTTTTCTTGTTGAATAATAAGGGTTTTTATATATTCTACATACTAGACCTTTATCAGGTATGTGATTTATAAATATAGTTTCTCCCATTCCGTGGGTTATTTGTTCACTTTTTGGGTAACTTCATTTGAAGTACAGAAGCTTTTCACTGTGATGGATTCTAGTTTATCTGTGTTTTATTTCCTGTTTATGCTTTTAGTGTCATATCTAAGAAACCATAGCCTAATCAAGGTCACGAGGTCACGAGTTTTATAGGCTTAGCTCCACATTTAAGGCTTTGAGTTAATTTTTAAAATTTTTGTATATGGTGCAAGATGAGAATCCAAGTTCATTCTTTTGCATGTGGATGCCCAGTTGTCCCAGCACCGGGGACATTCCTTCTCCATCGAATGGCCTTGGCACCCTGTGGAAAACCGAGTGACAGTAAATAGGAGGCTTTACTTCTTGACTTTCAGTGCCCACTGAGCTATGTCTGTCCTTATGTTAGTGCCACACCGTCTTGACCACTGTTGCTTTTAATACTCTTTGCCATTGGGAAATGTGAGCCACCAACTTTGTTCTTGTCCAAGATTGTTTTGGCTATTATTCTGGGTCCCTTGAATTTCCATATGGATTTTAGGATCAGCTTGTCAGTGTCTGCAAAGAAGCCAGCTGGAATTTTTGATGGGAATTTTATTGAATCTGTAGATCTGTTTGGGGAGTATTGCCATCTTAACAATATTAAGTCCTCTGATCCATGAACATAGGATGTAGGACTCCTTTTGAGGTCAGAAACTTACGGTTTTTTTTCTTCCCTGTGTTTATGTCTCTGTTTTTTTTTTTTTTTTCTCTTTTAGAAACACAAAAGCCGAAAACGCCGGTAAGTTGTCAAGGCTGGTGGAGGGGAGGGGAAAAGCAGGCAGAAATACCGGGGGTGCCCACTGCAGTGGCTCCAGGGCCAGGCAGGTAATGAAGCCAGCTGGGTGGAACCCAGAGGTAGTGGTGGGGACTGGCCAGGTGGAGAGAACCCTCTTTCAAGTCACCCTACTTCAATTGGCAGTGGTGAGGTGTTGTTTTCCTGAGTGTGGAAAATGACCATCCACTGTGCGGGGAGAGAATGCGTCATCCTGCACACGGCTTGATTTCCCAGCGGGTCCTCCCAACATTTAGGCTTGTCTCTTGGTTAGCCTCTCTCTCTCAGAGAGGCTGGTTTGTGTTGATGGCTTTTAGGTTCACAATGATGAACTATATTCCAGTCCGAGCTGCACAAAGATGGAAGAGAATGCTTAGGGAAGTAGTGAGTTTCCTGTCACTGGAGGTGTTCAAGCAAAATGATACCTTCAGACATTGGGACTAGAGGACCCTTAAAGTCCCTTCTGTCTCAGACATCCCATGAGCAGATATATATGTATGACTTCTGCCCACAAGGATGGGACCTATGTCTGAGAACCTCCTATTTATATTTTTCCCAGCTGGGGAAGGTTGACCCTGCATACTGAATCCTGAGGAGCTGTGAGCAGCCTAGGTGGCTACTGGCTCCTGTCCCAGCAGAGCCCAGCCCAGCTTTGTCTTGGGTAGGGGGGCCAGGAATGAGTCCTGTTGCCTGTTTCCCGCTGACCCAGTTAGGCCCAGGATGCCTGGCTCTGGCCCTGCCTACCTGGCCCAATTCTCCTTTTCCAGCCTCTTCTGTACCATGGAGCCAGAACCGGTCCAGCCCGGCATGCTCATCGACATCTGCAAATATCTGGACTCCCTGCAGTACCACGTCTGGCGGAAGATGGTCACGTCTGTTGAATCTGGTGTGTGGGGGCGCAGCCAGGGGTTACAGGCAGGGGAGGCGCTTCATGTGAGGCGGAGAACCAGCCAGACTCATTTCTTTCAGCTTCCCACCCTGTAGGGCCTTCTCCAGCCCCTTTCAGACAGGTCCCTTGGTGCCCTCTCCACCCCCTGCCCCACCGCTCAAAGCTCTCCTGGCAGAACCCCTTCCTCTTTGGGTCCTGACCTTCGGCCACCTCTGCAGAAAGAGGAACCGGCTGCCCTCTCTTTTCAGAACGGTATTGTATAGGTGATGAAAGGACTGAGTGTTTGCATCCCCTTATATTATATGTTGAAGCAAGCCCTAACCTCCGATGTGATGACATTTGGAGGTGGGGCCTTTGGGAGATGATTGGGTTACATGAGGTCATGAGTATGGAGCCCCATGATGGGATTAGTGCCTTGATAAGGAGAGGCACCAGAGAGCTGGCTTCCTGTCCCTCTCTCCCCCCTGCGAGGACACAGCAAGAAGGTGGCCATCTGTGAGCAAGGAAGAGGGTGTCACCAAAACCCAACCACGCTGTGCCCCAGTCTCAGACTTTGGTCTCCAAAACTATGAGAAAGACGGTTCTGTTGTTTAAGCCACTCAGTCTGTGGTATTTTTGTGTACAACCCAAGCTGACGGTGACGTCATGATTTTATAGAGAGAGCTGTCAGTGACCCAGAGGAATGTTACATGTTTCTCTCCATCACATGGGAGTTGTGTGAGCATCCAGGGTCCCTGCTTCTATTGGTTTCCTGTGGCTGCCGTAACAAAGGACTGCACATTGGATGCCTTCAAATGACCGATTTACTTGCTTACAGTCCCAGAGGCTAGACGTCCAAAATGAAGGTGTCAGCAGGGCCATGCTCCCTCTGAATCCTATAGGGAGAGCCTTCTTTGCCACTTGCTGGCTTCCGGCGTTTCCCGGCTGTCTTTGGCTGCCGGCTGTAGCCCTGTGATCTCGGGCCCTGTCGCCACCTGGCCTTCTCCCCTCACGTGTCTGTGTCTCTTCTCCTTTGTTTGCTAAGGACAACAGTCATATTGGGTTAAGGTCCCACTCAACTCCTGTCTGATCTCATCTTAATCACGTCTGTCGTGACCCCATTCCCAAATGAGCGTGCCTTCTGAGGCACTGACAGGTCTTGAGCATCCTTTTTTGGTGGGGCACAGTTCAACCTGTAGCACGGCCCCTCGGGCCCCGACGGCTCCCTGCGGGCGCTGCGGCCAGGGGGGATGCAGTGGGTCGCTTTGGGGGGATGGCAGGCACCACTGGCGTGGCAGAAGGGCGGCACGTGAGGTTTGCTGATTTCCCCCCACCTCCCGCCTCTGCTCTCAGTGCCCTTCAGCTTTGATCCCAACACCGCGGCCGGCTGGCTCTCTGTGTCCGATGACCTCACCAGCGTCACCAACCATGGCTACCGAGTGCAGGTGGAGAACCCGGAGCGCTTCTCCTCGGCGCCCTGCCTGCTGGGCTCCCGCGTCTTCTCCCAGGGCTCCCACACCTGGGAGGTGGACCTGGGGGGGCTGCCGAGCTGGCGGGTGGGCGTGGTGCGGCTGCGCCAGGACGCTGGCGCCGAGGGCCACTCGCACAGCTGCTACCATGACACCCGCTCTGGCTTCTGGTACGTGTGCCGCACGCAGGGGGTGGACGGGGACCACTGCGTGACCTCAGACCCGGCCACGTCACCTCTGGTCCCGGCCATCCCTCGCCGCCTGCGCGTGGAGCTGGAGTGTGAGGAGGGCGAGCTGTCCTTCTACGACGCCGAGAGCCACTGCCACCTCTACACCTTCCACGCCCATTTCGGGGAAGTGCGGCCCTACTTCTACTTGGGGGGTGCACGGGGGGACGGGCCCCCCGAGCCTTTGCGCATCTGCCCCCTGCGCATCACTGTCAAGGAGGAGCTGGATGGCTAAGGCCAGCCCGGAGCCTGCCCTGCGCCACCTGGGACTTGGGTCATGGTCCTGCTTCCTTTGTGTCCCTCTTCTTCAAGCCGTGCTCACCTCAGTACCTCTGAACCGTCCGCCTCCTTGCCAGGATCTGCCTGCTGACCAGTCCTGTCCTTTTCCTGTGGCTCCAGGCCCCAAGCCACCTCCTTCGTTTCTGAAGTCATCCGGGGGACACCTCACCCCCCAGAGTCCTGGCCCTTGGATGTGAATTTTCTAACTCCGAATTCCAGGATGTCTGGGGATGACGTTTGCTTCTAGAGGAATAGGCCCGTTTTAGTTTGTGGGTTTTATTATCTGGGTATGGTGAGGCTGCAATGGGAAAGAGTTGGTTATTTACAATTCCCAAGAGGAGGGCCCCACCACGTGGGCCGGGGGAGCCACCAGGGAAGCACCAGGCCCCTTAGGAAGCAGAGGGAGTTGAGGAAGCACCAGGTAGGAGACTTTGTTGTGGTTTTAGTGACAGAACAGGCTTGGTGGCTCTGTCTGGGTATATGGGTTTGGAATCTGCTGGTTGGAATAATTTTGGTGGACTCTGGGGCAGAGGGGCTGCCCTCAGTTGTCGGGGATGACCGGGGTGGGGCGGGGGGGGGGCGGCCTATGATCAGGAGGGAAACAGTGGCCCAGCGTGTTAGAGCCCTGTGAGAGGTAAAGGAAGTGGTTGGGAGTTTAGTCCAATAGCTCTGGATTGGTTAGTTTGCATATGAAAGGCGTGCACCCAGGGGAGTTGATTGCTTTCTCAGGGAATTGGCTAGCTCTGGGAGGAGCCTCCACATCCCCCCCCCCACCCCTGTGGTCAGAGTATCAAGAATACAGAAAATAAAATCTAATTCATACAGTGCTGCTGCTATGGCTTTGGGGCAGGACCCAGGCCCACGTTTGTCACTTTACACCAGTAGTTTAAAACTGCCCCGCAGAGCCCCCTCTCGGCCCCCCAGGGCAGAGGCAAGCCTGCTCGTCGGGTCAGCTCTGATTCATCTATTTACACTCTTTGGACTGTTGCAAACAGGATTTTAAAAACCACAGTTTAGACCTGTGCCTGCTGTGGGCCTCGATTCCCTCATCTGTAAATGAGGTAGGAGGAGTGGAAAATTATGTCCTGTAGTTACTGTGAAGGAAACAGTTCTGATTCATTCTTACAAAGTCATGAGGAAGGAAGGAAAGAGGGGTCCTTTTCAGTGAGGAGGTAGGAAGGGAGGATGCGGTCAGGGTAGGGGGGTCCTGGAGGGAGAAGGGCGGGAGGTACCTCGCTTGGCCTTTGCTGGCCTCAGCCTGCTCCTTCTCGCTCTCTTGCCCCCTGTGTTTTCATCCTGATTTTGTCTGCCTCTGCCCTGCCGTGCCTACGGACCTGCACCTCCACCTTTTCTTCCTCGCACCTGCCTAAAGAGTGTTTTTAATTGTCAGCTGTCCTGTCCCAGGAAACAGCACGGTGAAAGGAAATACTGGCCCGTAGGGGTGGTGGTGGTCTCATCAGGAGAATGTTCCCAACCGAGAACTCAGATTCTTTCTCCTGCCCGTGCCCCCGGTAAACAGAAAAGGACATTTAAACAGAAAGGACGATTCAAAACCATGAGGTGGTTATAAACGTGATATGTACAATTGGTAGGGGTCACAGGGAAGGACGTGGTAGGAGATGCTACTGGGTGAAGGGGACCAGGTTGGAATGTTGGCAGACTGGCATGTGCACGTCCCATCTGAAGGCAGTCAGGCTCAGGGAGCTCAAGGCACTTTGGCGGCCAACACATCTGAGACCAGTGTGCATTCTCTAAAGTATTAATCTAGCCCATCAAATAGAATCTCTAGGATAATCTTGACCTGGAATTATTTTGTTAGTTATAGTAAACTTTTAAAAATGTTTTTTATTTCCAACTTAGATATTGGAAAGGGGTTTTTGAATAGGATAATTTGGATAGCCTGGACCTCTTTTTTTTTTTTTTTAATAAAAATGATATTTGAGCTAAAACCCACTTTTTCTTTTGACATTTTCCTTTTGGTGTTCTTGTGAGCAAAAGTTCATCCATGTTGTAGCATGTATGTGACCTTATTCCCTTTTATGATCAGGTAATATGCCATTTTTCAGCTAATGAACATTTACATTGTTTCCATTTTTGGCCTTTACAAATAATGTGTGGACATATGTTTTGTGTGGACGTATGTTTTTCCATGCTCTTGGGTATCTGTCTACCTAGGAGTGGGTTTGGTGGTGCATGCGTGAACTCTGTTTAACCTTTTGAGGAACTGCTAGGCTATTTTTCAATGGAGCTGTGCCATTTTGTATAATCCTCAGAGGTGCACAGGGGTTCTGTCGGTCCGTATCCTTGCCAACACTTGTTATTGTCTGTCTTTTAACTTAGCCATCCTAATGGGGGTGAAGTGTTACCTCATTTTGGTTTTGATTTACATTTCCCTGATGACTGATGATATTGAGCATCTTTTCATGTGCTTGTTCGCCATTTTTGTATCTTCCTAGGAGAACTGTCTTTAGATCCTTTGCCTATTTTTGACTGGGTTACTTGTCTTTGTATCATTGAATTATAAGAGTTCTTTATACATTCGGAATACAAGTCCCTTATCAGATACATGATCTACAAATTTTTTCTCCCTTTCTGTGGGTTGTCTTCACTTTCTTGCTGATGCCCTTTGAAACACAGAAGTTTTTAACTTTGATGATGTCCAGTCTTACTTTTTCTCATTACTTGTACATCCTAGAAATCTCCCTTTCAACACTGCCCTTAAGCCCAGGTACCCCAATTTTTGGATTTTGGCACAGGCATGGGGCAGGTCACTTGTCGACAGAGAGCCCTAGTGCACAAGTTTCTTCTTTTGAACCCTCTCCCACCCTTGCCTTCTACTCTTGCTCATCCCCATGTTAGTTTCCTCCTTGTTACTACATCCAGGCTGAAGGCTGCAGTCCATTGGGCAGCCTCCCCTTCTCTGGCTCCTCCTACCTTCAGTCCATCCCATGTGTTGATGCCAGAAGCATCAGTCTCGCCTCACCCAGGTGACCCCGCTCCTACCTGCCCTGGTACGTTTCTCCAGGGTGCAATTTGGAGTTCATTACCCAGCTCCGCTTCTGTTACCTGGAGTTCCTGACCCCCCCCGTCCCCCCCACCACCACCACACACATGCAACTTCCATCAGCCCAGGCTTCTTGTGACATCTTCAGCCCCCTGCCTGGCTTCACACAGCTGGCTGGGTTGATTGGTTGGTTGGTTGGTTGGTTGGTTGGTTTTTCAGCTGGCCATTTTAATTGGATTGTCCTGGCATCTGTTATACTGCCAATTCTGGTTACACTGGCCCCACCACATACATGCTGTGTCTCCCTGAGCACACTCTTTACTTTCCTGAGCTCTTGTCCTCATCTGTAAAAACGGGGATCATGCCCACCTCATAAAGGTCTGATATAGCACGTCTGCGCGTGCTGTTGCACGGCGAGCACTTGGGGATGGCAGCCGCTGGAAGCATGCTTGCCAACACCAAAGGAGATAACCTAAGATCCCCTCATTGATCTCCCTGTCTTCCTGTTCCTGTCATGTCGACCACCAGTTATTTTTAGGTCACAATGTTATTTTTAGTCACCTGGGCCCTCTCCTTCGTTGCTTCCTTCTGCTAGTGGAGGATGAAATTTCCCTCAATACAGTTTCATCATCTGTGTGTTGATCAAATAGTGCAAGTCTCTCATGACCCCCATGGTTTGTGGAGTGGCTGTGCCAGGGTCATCAGCACATGTGCCATCCTGGGCTTTTCCTAGCTCCCCAGAGTGACGCCTGAGAGCCCTCTGCAGCAGCTCCTGCCCCCCTCTGCCTACCTTCTCCCCGCAGACTCCCAACCTTCCTGAGCCCCCGCGGACTTGTACGCCTCTGGGAGTGCTTCCTGTTGTTTCCTCGGCCTGCAGGGCCTGTTGCCCTCCTTCATTTGCCTTCAGTTGTCCTGGGCTCGGTGCTACCTTCCAAGGTCTGCCCAGGGCTTCCCTGGCTGCCACCACACGTTGGCGTAACCAGGATTATTGGATTTAGACACTGGAGTTCAGGGAAGCTGTCCCTGAAAGCTCCACATCTTTGGTAAGGAGAAAGCCTGGTACCTGAAATCTAGGCTCCTGGATACAGGTACCCACCAAATGATTTCTCAGCTATCGGAACCTTTTGAACCACGGCGCTCTCATCTAAAATGAGGATTAGAGGATTAGGTTACCTACCTCAGACTGTCGTGGAGATCAAAGGAGGTTTTTTTTTTGGTACAAATGCGATATATCCTAAACATAGGACAGCCCTAATAAATGTTGGCCAATCTTTCAGGAAGTGGGAGATTCTGAATGTTGACATAATGATGCACATTAATAAATCCCAAAGGAAATTGAGAAATACAAGTTCTCGATCTTGGGAGTCCTCAAATTTCATGAGATTTTTTTTAACAAGGATCTATATACATACAGGATATAGGCTTATGAAAAATTTCAGCACCGTGGGAAAATGGTTATATCATAGCGACCGAGAAAAATAGGGTTCAGAGTTATACATACAGACATGCAACACACACAAAAAGACCGGCAGGATCTTGTCTATAATTTGTGTGTATTGTTTGAGTAGATAATCCATTTACATGGCTGTAAATTTCAAAGGTACATAGAACAGTCTCCCGCTTCTGCCCACATACTCAGCTCCCCTCCTGTGGACAATCCATATTACCATTAAAAGAAAAATCCTTCCAGAGATATTTAATGCATAGCACATATTCTGTTCATGAGTATATTCTGGTTCTCCCAATACAATGTCACTTAGGAGCGTATACTCCCAGATCAGTATCCCTAAGCAACCTAACCAAGAGGAGACTACCCCAAATAAAGAATGTTATTATTTTCCTGTCTTCAAGGGGGAGATAATGCCATGGATGTTTTCATGCTTTCAGCCTAACTGGTGGATTTAGCTTTTCCCTTGTGTTTAAATATTTCACGCTAGGGGCGCCTGGGTGGCTCAGTCGTTAAGCGTCTGCCTTCAGCTCAGGTCATAGTCCCAGGGTCCTGGGATTGAGCCCCGCATCGGGCTCCCTGCTCAGCGGGAAGCCTGCTTCTCCCTCTCCCACTCCCCCTGCTTGTGTTCCCTCTCTTGCTATCTCTCTGTCAAAGAAATAAAATCTTTAAAAAAATAAAT